TGGAAGAAGAGGTGCATTGCAAAGTGGATTGGGGGAGGGGTAAGGGAAGGAAATAAAAAGTGCAATAATGAATTAATTAAAAAATATAAATAAATACATACATACATACAAACCAATGAACTTGTAAAACACTATACAACACGGGTGAGTCTGGAAAACATTATGCTGGGTGAGTCAAGTAAGGACAAATACTGCAGAAAATATAAAATAGAACTGACAGGATAAGACATACAATAGGATTGACATGAGGTGGAGAGGTGGGGGAACAGAAAGAGAGTGATAGATAATGAACACTGCACTAGGGCAGATGAAGGGGTGGGCTGCCTGAAAGAAATGTATGATTAGGCATGAAAATTATGACAATTAACAATCTATAACGTTACAATATGAGCTGATGGAGAGAAATGGAGAGGTGAAAGAAAAATGTTCAATGAATGAATGAAAACCCAACCTTTTTATAAACTTAAAATTACAAGTAAAAAGTTACAAGTTTGTTGTTGTTGTTATGTATGGTGAAGTTGCCTGAGACTCATACACATATACTGAAGAGATGGAAACAGTAAGAGTTAGCCTATGTACAACAGCTCTAAACCCTGCTCTATCCTGTGCCAACATTTTTGTCCCTGACACAGCTACTTCCATTACTCCAGTCACTGAATCAACCCATCTCATCAAGAGTCTTCCTCTCTTGTGCTTTCCCTCCACCCTCCCAAGCATGATGTCCTTCTCCAAGGACTTGTCCCATCTTGCAACATGCCCAAAGTATATCAGACAAAGCCTCAGAATCTTTGCCTCCAAGAAGCAGCCTGGTTTCACTCTTTCTAGGACAAACCTGTTTGTTCTCCTACCAGTCGATGGTATATTCAACACTCTTCTCCAGAACTACAGCTCAAAGCCATCAACTGACCTTCTATCATCCCTAGTCATTGTTCAGCTTTCTGACTCATAGCAAGTAATTGTGAAGACCCTGTCCTGGATCAGGTGCACCTCAGTCTCCAGACTGACATCGTTGCTCTTCAGTACTCTGGTGAGGTCCCTGATAGCAGACTTTCCAAAAACAATTCGTCTTTTAATTTCCTGGCTGTTATTACCAAGAGTGTTGATTGTGGAGCCAAACAAACTGAAGCTGTTAACAGTGGGGCG